GTTCTAATGGCAGTCTCTCTATGTTCAATAGTATGCCGGTGAGAGGCAGCTAGAAATAGCATAATTGAAATCAGCGTTTAAAAGCTGATTCAGCACATCTATGCCCTTGCCAGAAGGCCAATCTAAGTTAGGTAGTTTTTTCCATCAGTTAAAGCCTACTCTATCAAGCTGATAAGTAGGAATAGCGGGAAGTTTCAGCGGGTCATGGAGCGCGCTCTTCGCAGCATTTGTACCTATAGGTACAAGGGAAACATGTGGTCAACAGCACTTGATATCGCTAACAAGGGGAGGATACTTGGTCGAAGTGGCGTTTCCATATGAGATGTATGCTATCCTACAGAGCATGAAACGCTTATTCCAAATATGCTTTCGCTATCTGCAAAGGGTTTCTGGGATGGGAGTTCTGAAAAATTTTTGAGATAAAAATTCACTTATTTGGCTGAGATTAAAATAGGTGTTGAGATCTTCCCGGCACTTGAAAGGAGAAATGACTGGTATTAGTTTACTAGATTGAAGATCTTTATTTCACAGAACGCCCTGATAGTAATTACGGCCTCATTTCAGCTCACGGACTAAAGTTCTGAGTGATTTTATTGCAACGGTGCTTTCAAAATTTTGCATCAAAATTTTTCAAAACTTCCTCTCAGAAGCGCTTTCCAGATACAGAAAGCAGGTTTGAAGTCAGCATTCCATGCTCTATAAGATCCCATACATTTCATATGGAAACGCCAATCCGACCAAGTATCCATCTCTTGTAAGAACTATGACATTCGTTACTCCAAATTTCTCCATTTTTCTATGCCGTCGTCAATTTGATTATCTGGTTTGGATAGTCAGAGACATGCGATGAAAATTGAAGTTCACTATTCGCTATATTATGAAAATGCGACAACGCTGGAATCTCAACAGAAAAAATATAATGTGAAAGACGAAAGGTAGAGGCACCTTGAAATCCACTTCGTTGATAACATTGATCATTTCAACGACAGAATCCCCTCCATATATTGTACATATGTCCTTCCCATGACAAATAGCACAGAGGAAAGAAATAAACAGCTTTTGATTGATACCGTAAGCAGTGTTGGATAGCAACATCAAACGCATATGTAACTCGGAAAAAGTTGAAAAGAGAAAACGATAAGTAGGCGCAGGAGATGAAAAGGAAGTTAGCCTCAGGGCTCACAAGACGAAGTTAGGGCTCTCATAGACGAGGCGCCAAGGCTGCGTTCACGCTGATCTCGAAGTTTGGAAACAGTTCCAGCACAGCGGAACTGAGTGCTGTACTGGAACTGTTCCCGAACTTCGGGATTAGTATGAATGCAGCCCAAGTGGAGCGTTTTTCAACCTCTGATACTTTGGTGCGCTATATCGCAAAGTCGTACCCCACGACTCGCTCAGTATACAAATTGGACGAAACGTTCGCCGCAGAGCGCGGCATTTGAATTTTCAGTTTTAATTGCTCATTCATGTTTATGACAATGATTTTATTCAAAACTGGCTTTTTGTTTTTGTTGGGTGATGTTTCGCGCGTTTATGTGTCTAAACTATGCAGATGGCAAATTTTTGTAATAATCACTAGAGCAGCACTTCTGCACATTGCTTACAAAAAAATAAAGTTTTCTATTTGTAGCGTTTCTTTGTAGGTTTTCCTGTGACCAGAATTGATAACGTGTATAGCAATACGAAACAATGCTCGATAGCAAAAAAGTCAATTTTGACAACAAATACACCTATAAAGGAAACTAACAAACGACTACGGTGTAAAGTGATAAAGAAACGTGCTCTTAACTAAACTGAAGGTTGAGATGCCGGGCACTGCCGCAAGCGGCCTGCTCCAGTTCAAAATCGGATTCGTCCATTGGGCGACTAGTGGAGTGAGGATGACTTTGAAAGCACACGCAGTTGAACTCGAGTGTCGAAATTGTCAGCCATTTAACTTTCGCTTTACATTGAGACTGCTTGTAAGGATACCCTCGATAGTCTAAAGATAGGGCGTTAAAAGCGAAGGCTGTTTGAGTATTCGCCCCCCATAAACGTGAAAGTTGTTTATAGAAAATCAAAGAGGGGAAAAAGATGCAGAATAATTAGCGGCAACAGAAGAAGCTCTTAAAACCTAGTAAAAGGTTGCAACTATTAGGTTGTTGCAAAAATAATGCCCGTTTTTCTAGGCCTATATTCAAACAACTTTATTCCATAAAACTTTTTTTTACAATATAGAATCTGCATATCATTAGAAAGCTCTCATCATCTACTTTCTAATGGTGGTGGAATTAAATTGCTATACTCATCTGTGAGAATTTCACCAGCATTTTGCACATCTGCACTCAAAAGCGAAATCTCATAGCTTTCAGTTTCTTGACCACAATTCAGGAGCAAATAAACGAATTCTTCTGAAAACATAGTAGTTGTATTAGATAAAGATTGTTTACCTACTGTATGCTTATGTAGATTATCGGAGATATCTGGACTGAGAAATTGACGCCTCCAAATAGATACTCGCTGCTGACATTCTGTGGGTCAGAATTTTTTTTGTTTTTTTTAAATTTCATTCATTTGACGGCATTTCGCGTTCCAAGTTTTCGTTACAGGACCAGGCAATCTACGGAACGGGGAGGAAACGAGAGAAGGCTAGTTTCTTCTCTGTGATTGCTCTGAAAACAAACGTATTTTAGAAGTGGTAATCATCAGAAGAAAATAAACGAAAAACTTTTAGCCATGAAAGCGTAAATTTGTTTTTTCCTAAGTCTAAATGCACATCAAAGATAAACTAGTTTTTGAAGCGTCCTTTAGATTTTTGGCCTTTCTTGTGGCTTCTGTCTCTGGCGTTGTTAGCTTTGTTGTGCTCATAATCCTGAAACATCCCCAATCATATAAGAAATGGTAATTCATTAACTTCAATTAAAGCCTATAAACAAAAATGCTTTTTCTGCAGCTTTGTGCTAGATACTTCACCATAATCGAAGAATTTAGCCCCGCGACGTTGTCAACATTATGAACGGAATCAAAGTCCATGGAGTGCATAAAAATTCGCTTGAAAAGAGCTAAATTGAAGAAAAAAACAAGGCATTTTTGAAAACACGGTTTTTGCCAGACTTCTCGCTCATATTAGAAAATGAAGTTCTGCGACGTTGTCAGCGTGAGACTAGAGATCAAGAGTCTCAATACAGTAAACAGTTTGCTAGGGTTAAATTAAAGACAGCGAAGAAAAGGGAATCAAAGAAAATGCCCCGCGCCCCGCGTTTGGGGTAGCTAGGTAGCTCGCCGCGCAGAGACGCAGATGAGGGAGACACACCAGAGCCGTCGGAGCATTTGGCTCTGCTCGTAGCTTTCTGCAGAGTCTTAAGGCTGGGTTCACACTGATTCCCTGTTTTGGAACTGTTCCCGCACAGTTCCCGCACAGTTCTCGCACTGTGCTGGAACTGTTCCTGAACTGTGCTGCATGCGCTGCAGCCGCCCCGCACCGTTTTAAACTGCAAGAGTTGGAGAATTTTGACCTTTCTCAACGATTTTTCTTCCAGACTTCTCTCATTTTGGCCTTAATTCTCTATCCTGCTTCACTTTTTGATCAGCAGAACTTCGAACTCGAAGCGGGGTTGAAGAATGAGCGCTTTTCTGCTCTGTGTATGCAACAAAACATGTGTTTTTGTGCTCGTCCATTCTCTCTTCGCTATTTTTGCTCAAAACTACTATTTGTTCCAGGGAGCCGCTGCGTAGTTTCCTCAGCCATCTGCCACAAATCAGGGAGTACGAGCGCAATTCTGAAATTGCATAAATTAGAAGTTGTCTCTTGTTTACGATGAGTTTCATTTTTGAGCGTTCTCTGCGCTTTTCCTTTTTCCATATCGTTGCTTCTTCCTTCTTTCTTGTACGCCGCTTCCCCTTGTGACGAGAAAGGCTGCGAACTTGAAGATGGGTTGAGGATTGAACGCTGTTCTGCTTCATGTATCCGGAAAGATGGACTTCGTGCGCTCGTCCATCTTCTCTGCCATTCAAGCCTACTTCATGTGTTCGAGAGACCTAATGTCAATTTCAATACGAATGCGGGACTATGCAGCGCCATCCTACAACACATAAGGTCTGGACAAAAACAGCGGAGAATGGACGAGCACAAAAACACACGTTTTCTCGTATACACAGAGCAAAAAAGTGCTCATCTTTCAACCTCGCCTCGAGTTCGAAGTTTTGCTAATCAAAAAGGGAAGTGGGCTAGAGGAATAACACGAAAATGAAAGAAATCGAAGAAAAATCGTCGAGAACGGTCAAAATCCTCCAACTCCCGTTTAAAACGGTGCAGGGCGGCTGCAGCGCATGCAGCACAGTTCCGGAACATGGAGTCAGTATGAACCCAGCTTAACGAGACCCTGCAACATTATATATCGTTGTGGTCCTCATGAGACGAACAGGAGCACTGACAATGTTGCGGATGTGGAAATTTTTTTTTCAACCACTCACGACACTTGCTTCGTTCAAATTTACTCCTATATAGTTATGTCATAATATCCGGGGCTTCGTCCCGGATGACTCCTGTTCTTTTCCCCAGGTGAAGAATCTGTTCTATCATGAAGCTACAGAGAAGGTTACCAGAGTACATGGCTCTATTTATCGGAGGTATGCTCGTAAGTATTGCAATGTAATAATGCAAAAAATTCTGCATTGTTATAATTCATCCCATATTCTTGGTTACCGCGAACCTTTTGATCCAAACCTTTGTGAGTGAAACCAATGTAACAGATGCTCACCGCTAATGAATTTAAAAAACGTAAATCCGATTATGGGCAAATTCGATTAATCGCCTCTGCGATAAGCACAGCTCCCATCTTCTCATTACTCTTATTTTTTAACTCAACTTCCAATGGCTGTATATGATCATGAGATTTTATGACATTTTTAGAAAGTACTCAACTGGTCATGACATCTTATGACTTTTTTAGGATCCTCAAAGTACCGTCCCTTTGATGATGGCTGAATACTATAAGTCTAGTAATCACTATCATTATATAATGATTCTTGGCTTCCTGATTATCCTCGCACTTGACTATAAATTTGAAATCGAACTTGGATGGAATCAGCATGAGGTTGCAATTTCTATGTCATCTAGTCTTCGTTGCGTCTTAAAACATTTGCGTTTTGAGGCGCAGCTAAGACTTGATGATATACAAAGATTTGAAAATGCGCAAATCATACAAACGGCCTTTGGCTATGAACAAATTTACTACTGGTTACATGAGTGCCGCAAACTACCGGAAACATCTACAAATATTAGGGTTTTCATATAGCAGTGTGGACCGCGCTGATCGCTGCAACCGCAACAACGCTGCAGTTGCTGTATTTCAGTGTTTCTGATGGAATTCTTAGATTATCTGACGGGAGCGATGAAATCATTAAATATATGTAGCATACATCAATGCCAATAAATAATAAAATCTTATACAAGTGCAAATAAGTGATTTAATCCAAAACGTACCTGTCACTCGTGAATACAACGTTCTTAACACATTCACGACAAAACGACCCACCGGTGGGTCGTACGCTTTCTGAAGTTTTTAGTTTTGCTAATTTACGTTGAAATTTTTTGAGGAAATTGAGTAAATTTCTGTATACGCCTCTGGGAATACTTCCCACATAATTAGCACTCCACCAGTGACCAGAAAATATTACAATATGCGAAATATGCTCTGATCCGAAATGGCAGTCATCGAGAAATCGGCCTTATTGTAAATGTGTTAAGATACCTTTTTCAAGTACGACCAAAACTTGTCTACGTATACTTAATTCGTAATTTGCCTAGTTCTTCTCATGTAGATTTCTTATCTCTTTTGTTCGATGACTTCTCTAGCTTGTAAGAATTTTTAACAGTATTTTGACAAGGAAATGCACCTAACTTAGCTCGCTCTTTTGTAGGGCATAAACTTTCTTAATCAGCTTCAAAAGCTGAATCCAAATATGCTAGTCTTAGCTGCGGCGCAGCAATTTGGGGCAAGTACTCACTTTTTCTGTGCAAAATTTGCATACTCATCGACTTAACCATCACGGCATCATCATCTAGATGCTAGTAGACCTGGTCAAGTTCATTTTCAGTGAGAAAATACGTGGTTTGATTTTCGATATCCCAGCACCTTTTTAGGGCAGGGCAGTTTTCCCATTTCAAGTAATGTGCCAAATCCGCACAGGAAAATCATAACTCGCTTCAAAATGGTGTGCCGCAGCTGGGAATAGCATAATTGGTATCAGTGTTTGAAACTGATTTAGAACATGTATGTCTTTTCCTCAGGACGAGCTAATTTAGGTGTCTTTCCTTCTGAAAACTATCGTGACCGATCAAAGACACTGGAGGTAACAAGATTTTACTCAGGTACATACCTCAAAGTGCTTACACAAATGAGAGAGCACGGTTACGAATGTGAAAAATTACTTATTTACATAGGAAGCATTTTCTATATTCATTGATTTCAGCTTTCAATAGGATCGAAAAAGTTAATGCCCTTTAACTTTGACAATGCTCATCAATCAATGACACAAAATGTCATTGATTTCAAATGATTACCGCGCATTATATGAAAGAAGGCAAATTAGAGTGACAAAATGAGCTGAAATTACCGCATCGACTGCATCTGCTGCAGTCATTGCATACAGTGCATTCAATGCGGTCAATGCGATCGCTGCAGTCAGTGCTGCAGTATAAAGCAACATGTAGCAACTTTCGTAACGATGAAGCTGAAACCTCCAAAAGGGTGTAGGCCGCTTTTGCACAACCGTAAAGCTGGGTTAAGGGTATTCCATACAAGACCGCAGTCGTGAACGGACTCTGCGGCAATTGCCTTAGCGTTGGGAAGCGGAAAGAGTTCTTCGCATTCGTGACTTGTTCAGATAGTTCACGCAGATTGGCTGCTGAATATTTCCGCGCGAAATGGCTTTCCTCCGAATGTAGCAGTCAACAAGTTGATGCAATCATTTGATAAAATTTTGACGTGGTTATGAATAACTGAATTCGAATCTTGCATTAGAAACATGCTTCTGCCTTTCCATTGTGCGTGAAGCAACACCGCTGTCTACGTTGCTCTCATTGTAACTGTTCTTATCTCTGTGTTGAGTAGGTTGTATGCGCGGAGAATCCTTACAATGTCTAAGTTGATGTCAACAGATATCAACAAACTAAAGGCATCTCTAGCTTTTGATTTAGTCTTCTTAACTTTGTGCCGTTACTTAGCCTAATTAGCCGTTAGTCTGCAAATTCAAAAAAACAAGAACATTGTGCAAAATTGCTACAACTCATGGGGCGTAAAACAACACCTTTGCAACATTAGGTCATGCAGCACCAGCTTTGAGTGCTTTCAAGCCAATTGTACTGACAGCCCTTCCAAATCTCCTATTCTCCAATCTCAACATTATACTGAATGTTTGCCTTGGGCTCCCGCTCGTTTCGAATTTCGTTGCGTTGAAGTCCTCATTGTGCGCGTCCTAGTTTTTCCATAGACTGCACTGCCTGAGCAGATAAGATCAAGTAGAAGATTTCGTAGATTTTCATTAATAGATGACAGACAATGGTCGTTTAACATCACTCAAACTGCTTTAATGATTTAATTTGTTGAGAAACTCTAGGCTGAACAGTAAACAAGCAGCTTGATTTTTATTATATTTAACACGTTGACGACGGTGTCGCGCAATGGTGCGCGACAGGCAGTCTGTCCCTGTGGACGGTGTCGCGCAATGGTGCGCGACAGGCAGTCTGTCCCTGTGGACGATGTCGCGCAATGGTGCGCGACACCCTAAACATCAGTTTTAATGTGCACAATGGTTCCAATTTGTGTTCATATGATCAAGTAAGGCTCGAAAGCATTTCATGTTGGCCCGCCCCCTTTTTGGCAAACTCCGCCCACTCCATTGCCCTCTACAAAAAACTTTCTTCGTTCTTAAATCGCATAGAAAAGCTCATAGATGAAGGGAAACCTCAAATAATCTTGTTTTTGACCCCGCCCTCAGTAATGCATGCTCCACCCCCTCGGTGGCAAGCTCCGCCCACTTTTCAAAAATGCCGGAATTTGCACGAATTCACTGATTTGGAGCAGTTTCCAGCATTTGAGAAGTAGGCGGGGCTTGCCAAATGTGGGCGGAGCTGCCCCGCCCACTTGCATTTGTGTAGCTCACGCATAGATGCATGCATATATATGTGCAGCCGGCTGTGAAAATGCTCGGAAACGGTTCGTCCACAGGGACAGACCTTCAAAAAATGGCTCGTCGTCAACGTGTTAAGATTTTTTCGATTAACAATAAGCGGGCTGCAAACTCAACGTCACTTACATGAGCGAGCGACTTTCACCTATTACTCAAGCAAGTCATCAGCGTTCTTCTCTACTATCCCTTGGCGTGACCTTTGAATCGGGCAGGTTTTCTGAACATCTCCCAGTATATTGCGCCGCTATGCCGCAAGGTCATAAAGCAAATGACATATTGCTTGAAGCAGCTTTCCATGCTCTTTACTTCGTGGTATCGAGTATAAGAAGTTCTTCTTATTTTTAGGTGAAAACGCAAAAAACTTCAAAACTACGTGTTTTAGACAGATATAAAAGCAGAAGAGTTCGTAGATAACATGTATCTCTGGTCTCGGAACTGCTAATGACCATAGTTCTTAACTTTAAGTGGTGGTACCACCGAGCCGTCGTAGGTTGAGGCTCTCCCCTCATCCACTGTAGCACTGGTACGTTGCGCGGCATCACATTCTCAAAGTTCATCACCAGTCAAGGTGATTGTCTTTGCATTTCAGCCAGTGTAAAAATTATTAAACATAAACAACCTTATACATGTGTTGACTAAACGAGAATAACTTTTTTTTAAAATTGGAATTGATCAGTTCTCTTTCTTGTAAAAGTTGCAGTTATCTCCATGTCAATTTACTTTCCTTCAGTTTGATATAATGTTTTTATGTGACATTATAGCATGTTTGTGGGCTACAGAAAATATTGTCTTCATTCATGCATTGTGGTCGCAAAACTAGCACAATTTTTGCCTAAGCACACACTACTACATTGAAGTTATTGGTTATTTTGACAAAGCTAATGGTACGATTTCCTTGATTTGGCGTGGCAATAACATATTTAGCTGGGCAATCCACCTTCTGTAATTCTTGCTCCATCATCAGACTTCTGCCGAGGTTATCGCTACCTTGTCGTCGTGTTTTCTAAAGCCAATGATATAGAAAGTCGGAAACGAGTTCGACGGACATATGGGTCTCTTCGTTTGCACGTAAGTTTCTCTCAAGCACTTTGTCTGTACACGGCGCCACGCAACCCTTGATTAATGAGAGCGTTATAGATTAATTCACTCAAATCTTCAATTTATTTAGCAGACAAGTACTAAACATCTTTATTACATTCTACGATTGCTTTTAGTACAACTTCACCATCATCTTCCCATTAGGAACTTCAAGCAGACGAACCAACCAAGCTATTTTGCTGGAGCAGAATGAATTTGGCGACATTTTGCAAACGGCTTTTACCGACACTTATCATAATCTTCCTGTAAAGATGAGTTATCTGCTAAATTAGTCCAGTTTGTCATATTCACACCATAATTATCGTCTTCATTAACTTCATCCATCACATGCTTTGAAACAAACCGCGGCATCACTATTTTGTCCTTGAATTTGAGGAAGATCGATAAAGCAGACAAGTATGATGTGCGGTGTAGCTCTAAATCTAGGATTTTCAGACCTATTCGTTCACAAACTTCGTGCGTGAGAACTGCACTAACGTGATGGCTGTGTTGAAAGTGGATGATGACATAGAGTGGAACACAAGCAAAATGTTTGCGGAAATGTCTACACTGAGCAACACGTCTGTAGAACTCAACTGCTATTACACAAGCGGTGGCAGACCTTTTAGAAACTCAGCCCATAAATGGCAAGTTTCTCGTCTTTGTTTTATTTGCGTCAATTTCCAGAATTCGAGAATGACGGAACTAGCACTACTGATTCCGTTGCATTTGGTTTACTTTACTTTGTCACTTTAAATAAGCAATTTTGCACAAAAGACATTATACATGCTGGTATGCTCTCTGCACGGCAAATACAGGACACTATCTGTAGGCCGACGACTAGAAAAGAGCAAAACCCAGCTTATGAGAGGAAATTAGTCGATTGTTAGGAATGTACATAGACTATGCTGCTATCACATCGCCACCTGACCATCGCAGTTAGGCCCGACCAAGGCAACATTATTTCGACAAAGCTATAGGGCAGATGATTGACAAATAAATCGGGGGAAGGGTCACCTCGTGGAAAATGTCCTTTTGTGAAGATGCGAAAATGGAACTAAAAGCCAATCTCAACGCGGAGATCTCTTATTCGGGATGCTTGAACTGTAACTTTTGCAGCGGGTAGCGAATTTTGCGCCGGCTTGCTGCGTCCTTCTGCAGCCAAAGCGGTGGGTTAAACGATTGTGCCTGGTGCGCACGCGGTGCGAGAGCTTATTGATTGACTCAGTTTTTCACTAATTTCATCAGCTCCATCTTATCTCTGCTGATTTGAGGTGCGATTCCATGAATATCATAACTCAGAATTGGTACCACGTTTTGATGGCAGATGCTCAAAGTATTGTCCCCGTCTAGATAGCTATTCCAAAATAGACAGTTGTTTGCTTCTTTATTTGAATACTAGCTGGCTTACCCGGCTCCGCCGTATCCGGACCAAACTTGGCACACATACACTTCGGGCCCCGGCGGGTGTCACAGTCCACTTTTCGTTATCGATCGATGTCGATTTTACCGATTTTTATCGATTTTTTTGCAGAGTTCACCTACAGGGCTAGGAGTTGGCACAGGGGGGGAAGTGAGCATGGGGATTCCGAATACGATATTAGTTTTCAGAATTATCGATTACTTTTATTGATTTTATCGATTTTTTGTAAATTTTGACATGCGAGGCTGGGATTTTGCACAGGGGGGTAATCGAGCATGCTGATTACGAACACAATATTAGTTTTTAGTATCGTCCATTACTTTTATCGATTTTATCGATTTTTTTGTAAAGTTTGACCTGCGGGGCTGGGAGTTTGCACAGGGGGTAATCGAGCATGCAGATTACGAATACAATATTAGTTTTCAAGATCGTCCATTACTTTTATCGATTTTATCGATTTTTTGAAAATTTGAGCTAGGGGGCTGGAATTTGGCACAGGGGTGTAATCGAGCATGCTGATCACCCCCCTTGGGAATGATCAGCATGCTCGATTACCCCCCTGTGCCAACTCCCAGCCCCCTAGCTCAAACTTTGCAAAAAATCGATAAAATCGATAAAAGTAATCGATAATCCCGAAAACCAATATTGTATTCTGAATCCCCATGCTCGATTACCCCCCTGTGCGAACTCCCAGCCCCGTAGCTCAAACTTTGCAAAAAATCGATAAAATCGATAAAAGTAATCGATAATCCTGAAAACCAATATTGTATTTGGAATCCCCATGCTCGATTACCCCCCTGTGCCAACTCCCAGCCCCGTAGCTCAAACTTTGCAAAAAAATCGATAAAATCGATAAAAGTAATCGATAATCCTGAAAACCAATATTGTATTCGGAATCCCCATGCTCGATTACCCCCCTTTGCCAACTCCCAGCCCCGTAGCTCAAACTTTGCAAAAAAATCGATAAAATCGATAAAAGTAATCGATAATCCTGAAAACCAATATTGTATTCGGAATCCCCATGCTCGATTACCCCCCTGTGCCAACTCCCAGCCCCGTGGGTGAACTCTGCAAAAAAATCGATAAAAATCGATAAAATCGATATCGATCGATGACGAAAAGTAGCCTATGACACCCGCCGGGGACCGAAGTGTATGTGTGCCAAGTTTGGTCCGGATCGGTTCAGAAATGGAATTTTCTATTCGGAACATACGTACACACATACATACATACATACATACAGACAAACAGACATTCAGCTTTATACAGGGTGTCCCAAAAAAATGTTAGCACTGTTTGATCGTTAATAACTCCCTTGCTTTCAAGTCTTTCGCCGAGCTTTAGGTACCAATTTGTAGAGCGAGGATAAACTTAGATTTACAGTATCGAGCGAATCATCTAACTTTCCTCGTTACTGTAGAATCACGGTAGGAAATTTGACAAGGATTTTAGGCCATTGAAACCCATTTTTTGCTTTGAAACAGAGCCAACAAGCCAAAATCTCTTGTACTATGGTAATGAAAGCCGCTGATTTCGGATATGAAATTTTCATTTCATTATGATACTTCTTTTCAAAGTTACCCTAGGTAAAGTGTAATAACTGACTTCCCAGCATGTGTCAAAAATGTGATTACACCTTCAAAAAAGCTGAAAACACTCGCAAAAAGTTGTGTAGTAAAATCAGCGTGCGCGAAAACCCTAGCACACGATTTTTCAGATTTTTTGAAAAAAATTTTGTCAGAGGGCATATTTCATGACGGTTCCACATGCTGGAATTTCCTACCGTAATTCTACAGTAACGAGGAGAGTTAGATGATTCGCTCGATACTGTAAATCTAAGTTTAACCTCGCTCTACAAAATTATACCTGAAGCTCGGCGAAAGACTTGAAAGCAAGGGAGTTATTAACGATCAAACAGTGTTAACATTTTTTTGGGACACCCTGTATATAAGATGCTCATGCCTCATGCTTTTGAGAGATGCGGTTCAAAATGCAAGATGAGACATTCAAGAGCATACATATTAGGTTGTAAAGAAAGTTCCCGGATACTTTGGAAATTTCATTTTCAAGCGCATTTTTTCGGCACTCGGTCAAACTTTGACGCCAAGTTTTTTATACTGTTTGTAGAGGGAAGCCTGAAGTTTTCAATACTCCTTTTGACTTTTATCGATGCCGAACATGTTTGATCTGCACATCGAGAAGAAAAAACTTTCCAGCCGTAAAAATTTCACAATTTTTCTTCCTACGGCCATTTTTCGTCCAAATCATAGGTCAAATCAAATCATCTAATTGAGAAGCCTGTTCTTCTGACACGCAGCTGCACTCGAGTTTTGCGATTTGCTCTCAAAAATTACAAGCTGTCGAACTTCTCTCTGACTCAACTCTTTTTGCAAATGGCGTCGCTTCTGCGAGGTCGCCACGCTTGAATGATGGATCCAAGAGATGTGCAAGGCATTACCCCACCACTGTTGCCAGAAACCAAAGATTTCTTCCTTTCTGCGCAGAACTAGAAGACTTCGAAGTTACTTGGTGGTGGTGTCAATGGTGCATTTGGGGGGGGGGGGGGGAATCGATTTTTCAGACTTTGTGGAAAAAAATTTTTTTCTGTGGTCCTGCAAAAACATGAATGGTCCCCATAACAGCCCCAGCAGACCTCTACACAACTATAGCATCTGAGCTTTCCAGCTCTCATCCCGCCTAAGAGCACAATTAGGCCACTTTTCTGACGATCTTTTTCCCTTTTGCATATGGTGGTGGACCGCAGTGCGGTGCTGAAAAGCCAGCAAGACAAACATAATATAATATATGTCGTGGACAAAATTCTTTTCTTGTCTTTGTCTTTGCAATGAAGTATGTAGTTTTAAAAAATAATCAGTCCGCTTGAAGTCACAGCGATTTGAAAAATTTTTTCGCAAAAGCCCGGAAACTTTCTTTACGACCTAATACAGTTCCATGATAATGCATACAACGCCCAAAAGGGTCGAGCCAGAATGTGCCGTACGCGGCGTACGCGAAGTATCATGATAGGAACAGACGGCGGTTGCACGAACAAGGGAAGGCAGTTGACTCGGAGCGGCCTTTCGAAAAAAAAACAAATGTTCTTGAAATAATGTAATGCTGAGTTCAAGTAGACTGTTTCCAGCTGCGACTTTATATTCTGAAGCGAGTTAATGACATTCTTCTGTGCAAAAAATGCATGCTATCGTGGCATCTATAAGCTATTACACCGCATCAAGTTCCTTGTTGAACAAAGACTCGATCTAATGTCATTTTTAATCCTTGCACATCTTTTGGGCAGATTTCTATTCGCAAGCAGTCTCCCACATCAGGTAACATGGCAGTTTTCAAAAGAAAAAAGGTCACAACTTACTTTTGAAGATGCGCTGCAGACAGGAACAACATATCTGTAACAAGCACTTTGCTGATTTCAATCATATTTGTCTCACTTTGAAAAACCGATCAAAGTTACATATTTTCCCTAACATCTGAAGTAGGTTTTTTGCGAAGCAAAAGCAGACGTCATTGAGGAAGTCTTCCCCCTCCCCACGAGACGTTCAAACGTGCTCGTCGAAGTGATGCAGCCGAGAAAATAGATGTATACTACTTTGCATCTAGAGCTCCCACCGACAAACTTAAATAATTCTGGACGTAAGAGGCGAGGAACGGCGCGCCCTTAAAGTATCTAAGCAAGTAAAGTATTGATTCACGCTATAAGCTTGCCAATTATAGAAGAAACTTATTGACCTTAGCGCGGCATCTCGTGCAATGAAGAGGCTCTAAAAAAGATGAGCTTTCAATTTCAGGTTCATTTCGTACAAAGAGTATCCCTACGATTGGTTTCCGACTTATTGTTTTAGTGCTGCTTATTTTGCTTCCCCACATACTTTCATAGCTTTATTTAAAGCAGCAAAAACTGCACGATATATATGGGTGGGTTGATAGTGTACGTTTTTCTTACGACATACCTCCCTTTTCATGGATATTCTTAAGCTTAAATCAAAAATTAAAACAAAGCAAAAAGTATTTGGAGTTCAGCATGAGGCAATGAAGAAGCTGACAAGGAAAGCGTTTTTTGTCGAAGTTGCTTTCCAATCAAGGCCATAAAACTTTGAAGAGCATTGCAAGCTGGCTCCAAATCTGCCTTTACTATCTTCAGGGGCCTCTAAACGCTGGGTTAAAGGATATTCGTTGACGACAGCCCCGTTTCGTGCATTTACACCACTGCGGGCGTGCCTTTTTGAAGCCTTTCCAGCTTTACAGTACGCTGCAGCTCGCGGGGTGTTCGCACCTCATAGCATGCCCGTCCTTTAACCTCTTTTTGCTGTTTGAGCATTTCATATCGTTTTTTTCCTTAATTTTCATTTTAGGCAGTTACACATTCTCATACACGCAAAACCATTGCTCCGGAAAGAATCGGAAGGAAAGTTCCTTCAAAGTTGCAATGGCGGAATCGTGGCTATGATTGGGAGTACAACGTTTTCTTCAGTGTTTCATAATGATTTGCCTTTTTTTCTTGAGAAAGACTGCTTAAGTGGGTGTTTCAGCACTCCTACATCTAGGACACAGTAGGTGTGCTAAAATAAACATTTAACTGCTTATTTGAGGAGAAGGCACGATAGCCATCACTACTCACCGCTCATGAAGAAAGCACACCCTTCCATTTTAAGTATGCGGACGATAGTTTACGATTCGAAAAAGTTTGTATGGCATGTAAAAAGGAGAACGAACAAAAACTGTGCGAAAACTTTTTTCCTGCTTTTTCAGTACCCATCAAAGCAGAATTTGTAGGGTATTCGACCTAGAAAAATTCAGAGAAGGGGGGACCGACTGACTGCCGAGTAACTGCCTGAATCAACCTGCGGCGCGGTAGCGTACTGTAAAGCTGGAAAGGCTTCAAGAAGGCACGCCCGCGGTGGTGTAAATGCACAAAACGGGGCTGTCGTCAGCGAATATCCTTTATGACCGTTTGTTGGAGCGAAAAATGGATGCAAAATTAAGGTAAAATCAATTGTTACAATCTTTCCAGCGCTCAGATAAAGCAACGTTTAACTATTAACATGTACGACAAAATGTATCCATTTCATAAACTTTGTTACCCGACACCGGACCATTTGAGGAAGTTTGTTCCAGTTTTGCGTTCAATTTTTTGTCCCGAAAAACACGCATAACACGGCGTTCAAAGGCGCTTGGCTAATAATCACTGTGCAATACTTTCCAAAGCAATATGGGCATCACTGAAAAGGCCACTTCGACTAAACACGCTTCCCTTTTAAGCTCTCAGCATAGAGTTTTTAAGAGAATAGATAGTGTTGGTTTTGCTAGAAATACACTATTTATGATGCATGCCGAAGTTGCTTGCTCAGCTTATACTTTGAATAGTAATTTCTTTTTCACCAAAATGTGAACTCTCTTCGCATAATCTCGCACTGACGTTATAAAGATAGCAATAAACTTATGTATTAATAACGTGTGTCTCAGACCACTTCACTTGTCCGAAGCAACTGAATACTGTATGAATGTGAACCTTTCCTCAAAGGCTTTGTTAGTCATTCTTCACTAGAATTCCGTGACAGACAACTTTTACACAACATCATATTTAGCAACTTATTACAAGTCAATATTTATAAATTCCACATGAAATGAGCTGCACAAAAAAAGTCTAAGCAATTGACATTAGTAAAAAAAAAGATGCAACAGCACGGAAACAGTAAACTATCACGGACCATTGAAAACGATAATCAATGTTGTGTAGATGTTAAGTCCGTTTAACACAACCACATCAGCATCTCAGACACTGGGAGCGGGCGAGCCGCGGCCCAGTTCCGGCCGGGCAATCGCAGCTCCCGCGGGCCGGCCGTAAATGAGCCGCGGCTCGCCCGTAGTGGGCCGCGGCTCGGCCGGGAAAGGGCCGCGGCTCGACCGGGAAAGAGCCGCGGCTCTGTATTGGCTCTTACTAAATCGTTCTAGCACTTCCAAAAATGGTAATTTTAGCTGCTTCTTTTAGCACATTAAGACAACAAAACAATCACATATTCATGACAACTCATTTATCTTCTGTGTCCAGAATATACATAAAAAATAGTCACAATCATGAACAAAGAATCAAACAATCTACAAAAAATGATGATATCCTTATTGCGCTGATCTACTCCCATTGTTCTCAAAGGCGCATATAATATGTTTCGTCATCTATCATCTCGATGTTGTCTTCGGCAGCCTCGACCAAAGCTTTTCTTTTCTGCCTCTGAAACATCTGGATAACGCTGAAGTAGTCAATATAATATACATAAACGAACTCACAGTACTTGTTCTTTCGATGTCTTCCTCGGGCACAGCCACAGTCTTCCTTTTCTGTTTCTGGAACATTTGGAATTCGCTGAAGTAGCCAAGTTTATGTATCAACTCACATTACTCGGGCTTTACGTATTGTATTGTCATTCTCCTTGTATTTTTTCAATGCTCGGACATCCCTTCTGGAAGTCAAAGTTACTGATAATCAAAATTACTTCGTTTCACCACGTACAGGGCTTTCTGTAAGGTCTAATAAAGGTGTGGCCGCCATTGAGCTCGCTCCTGTCTCATCTGCGAAAGCTCTTTCCTTCTTTCCTCTTCATTGTTTCCCAAGCTTTCGTAGAAGCTAAATTAGAAAACAGTACACTAAATCTCTCTTAACTTTTGTAAAATTTGCAAGCACCTGGACGTTTCCAAATCGCCTTCAAAACCCGGCACCAACTCCTCGTGTCCGTAACCTAAAGCGTCCTGCGCAAAGTCTGGAATAAAACGATTGAAACCTGAATGAGAAACACTGGAGATTGATCTCATGGTTACCTATAAGTACATCTTCTATCTCTGAAGGGAGATCTTTCAACTTTTCGTCCTGCCACCTGCGTTATTTACACAAATCGCATATACTTGAATTTTGTTTGGAGGATCCATGATCTGAATTGATACCTACTTTAACAATTTTAGTCTGCTATCATTGTATACCTGCGTCAGAATAAAGCGGACGCTGGAAATTTGTGAGATTTTTGCGTGGCTGCCACTTCTTCGAGACCGTGGCTATGATGTTCACTTAAATCAATATAATCATATATATATAGTCATGGTCAACTTTTGTAAAGAACACTACTTCTACAAATGGGCACTGCGCAGATATTTTCCAAGACTTTGTACAGTTTTCTACCCCGACTTTGGGCAGATTTTCTTGACTAATGCCCTCATCTTTCATTTCTAGAGTCCGGCCAAGCTTCCTGATTTGTGCCCTGATGATATCGCCCTTAAAGGTCAGATTGGTTTTTATTTGGATGTGAGAAAGCAGCACATCAACTGCAATCTGCTTGCAATTACGTTTAATCTCATTTCCTCTACCGGGTCATCCACATTGTCAATCCCATCAAAAACCATTTTCTGGGCTCGATTAGCCACTTCAGATCTTGTGAATTCCTACAAAGATTCATACACTGAGTTGTCACGAAAATAACGGAAAGAGATCAAAGGAGCGTGAGGTTTAGAGAAGAGAGAAGCGGATTAGTATGTTGAAGGGAGATGGCGGGCGTCGGTCATCGAAAGCCCTCGGCATTTTTGGTTGAGACCAAAATACGTGTGGCATGATCTATGATTTTGTATACCTCAAAGTTCATAATTTACTCACATCATAAACGCTCTGATTGAAAGTGTGACATTTCTTCTTCTCCAGTATCAATTTGGCGGCCTTATCCATGTGAATTGTGCCCCGGCTGATACAGTCGTAAAGGGATGACACTGGTTCCATTAATAATCTTCTTGGTTCGGGAGAGTGCGAAGTCCTTGCGACTGTTCCTAAAATGTGCTTTAAGTGCTACTCTTGCTCGTACATTCTTCCTACCTGGCCTGACTCTAGCAGAAACGGTGCTGTTGCGAGGACGAAACATGTTAAACGAAAAATGTCCACGCGAAAGAACCGAAGAGCACCAACGCTCTTGTTGAATGGAAACAACCTTCGTCAATGATCATTACGAGATCATGACTAACTTGTTAATTTGCACATCGCTGGTCAGGTAAGCAAAGCAAGAGCCGCGGGTCGGCCGCTGCAATGAACAAGGGCCGCGGGTCGGCCGTACTCAGACCACGCCTTCAAGTTAGGGCCGCGGGTCAGCCGCGATCTGATCACGCCCCCAAAATAAGGCCGCGGGGGGTCGAAAGGCCTTTCAAGGCCGCGGCTCGCCCGCTTCCAGTGTCTGAGATAAGACTGAATTTTCTCTTCTTAATTACACCATTGTCCCGCGAGGACAGGGTATGCGGTGTTCTTCGTGATTTTCATTTGAGGCGATCAGATGCCTCTAGTGATGTGAGTTTTATCACTCGAAGGTCGTTTCAATTCGTGTTCAACCAACGTTGCTTTGGCCCACCGCAAGGTTTTTATCACTATAGATGTGCCAGGCCGTGTCCGTCCAAGCATGGGTGTCAATGATCGTTCAGCAATCCGATGTTAGCTTAGAGGCAGTATCTCACCATAATTTAGTTGCCGGGTTTTTTGCATTTTGCAAGCCTGTCGGGCCCTGTAGCACTGTAGTGGCTTAAAATCGCACGAAGTTCCCAGAACCCGTTTTCTGGAGGCCTCGCGGAAGCAACGTGGACGAGTTGTACCCTCCAACTTCAGCCTCATCCACAGTGGCAGCAACAGAGGGGAGGTGGATGCCAAGTGGAGAGACATGTTCAAACGCGTAAGGGGGAGACCGAAGGAGTCGTCCGTGCGTACCAAATCGCTCTCCGCGTACCACTTTGAGCGAATTTTTCTCCGCGTGGAGGGGGTCAAACTGAGTGGGACTTGTTGCAGTGGCCTATTCAGAGGTCCCTATAATAGAATGTGTGGAGATCCGCGCGACTTCAACTTTGGTGAGAACTGCCTTAAAGCCCAAATAATTGAAAGTAGTGGTTTTTATCTATGGCTGTCCGTCGATACTGATTGTTCCGTTGGTTTGCCCTCCGCACTCCAGGTACTCAACCTCTCCCACGTTGAGTCGAAGCCATACTTCTATAGAGGCGACCTCCATATTTGCCTCTTCGAGTTCGTGCCTCTTGATCCGCTTGGTAGTTCGAATAGAGGCGACCTTCATATTCGCCTCTTCGAGTTCGTGCCTCTTGATCCGCTTGGTAGTTCGACGTCATTCACGTAAAGAGTGTCTACGGGTGCTGCAGTTGAATGTCTCTCGTCACCATATCCACTAAATACGAAAATGAAAACTATCGCTGATCTTTAATGTGCTCCTACTCGAATTGAAAAACTACTGCACAGCGTAGGGGTCTCGTTGTGTGTTATTCGATCAGCTTTTTCCAAATCTAAAACTGCTAAGTAAATCGGAACTCGCTTTTTCTAGTGGCATCCCATCAGTGTAGTACGGCATGGATGGCGTTGACGCATTGATTCGGGTTGGCTTCCACGATGTCCCGAATGCGCATGTCAACGACTCTCTCAGGAATCTTCATTGTGTGACAATAAGGAGTGTGTGGGTCGGTATGTTAACTGTCAATAAGTCGTCCTTGTTCTTCCATATGGGAACCGTCACACTCGTTGGCCGAATTGTAGTACTCTCTCTATGACGACTGCTCAAATAGTGATGTTAGGAAAATCACTTCGCTTGTCCCATCGTCTTCCATATTTCAGCAACTGTTGTTCAGCCCCGATGCTTTAATATTCCACATCTTCTTCGGTTCCTGCACAATCTGTCTTTTCTGTCTTCACGATCCGAGTACCGGTGCGAATGTTGGCGTTCCTTGCGGAACTGGTGAATGAGGATACTTTTCATTGCATAGGCTTTCATAGTAATGGCTCCATCGCTTGAGTACTGCCCCAGGTTTCGTCAAAAGATTGCCCCCTGCGTCTCTTATGTGCATGAGGTGGTCGATGTGTATTTCGCTCAATGTGGTGCAACGCCTGCTTTTTATGTCTTGTTAGTCCCTGAAGATCCTCCCAAATTGTCGTAAAGCTTCTTAAGATGTGCCTTCCCTGTCTCGAACACCGCCCACTTTGCTCTCGAGTTCAGTTCTCAATATCGACGGAAGTCATCCTTTGCATGAGAGTGTTGCCAGGTCCTGTAGGCTTCCCTCCTCTTCTTGATTACCTGTTGATACTGACTCGCCACATTTGTCAACAAACTGACGCCGGTTAGGCGATCCCCACGATACATTCTCTGCTTTCGCATCTGCGAATCAATCCAATTCCAATGATCTTCAATCTATATATATATATATATATATAAAACTCAATGTCTGTGAGGATGTTCGTTTACTTGTTCGTTCGTTATAGAAACGCCAGTCATTGAACCGATTGAGCTAAAACTTTGCACACGTATGCATTTGACCCCGGAGGTGGTTTATGGCTACTTTTTGCGGCGATTCGCAGGGTCCTTCTATTGATTTATTGATTTTTGGCATAAGAATGAGTTCTCAACGTGGCTAACAAGTCAGTTCCATGATTTGGTGTAAACAATAGCAGTAGAGTTCATTCGGTTTTTGCCGTAGGAAGGATGCGGTAATCCAAGACGAGCCTGCAGCGGGTGAGTTACTCTGATAAAAGAAACCCTTGCAGCGCAGCATAACGGCCAGATGGGAAGGGGGGGGGGGGGAGGGGGGGAGGTGGGGAGGGGGGAGGTGGGGAGGGGCTGGAGCAGGGACCAGCTGACAGATCCGGGCTGGACCGGGAAAATCAGCTAGTGGTCTATAATAGTCGACAATCCAGACTCTTCAATGTTTAACTCGCTGGGTCCGATAAGCTCCCACCGCCCCTTTCTCGTTGTCTTCTCGGCTCAAAGATGAAAATTTATGTGCTTAGTCAAAGACACGAGTAAGCGACGTCGTGGCGCGAATGCATGTGTCGCTGTAGGTACGAATTCAATGTTTACTACCACATGCGAATGGCAGCGGCGCAGCATCCAGCTTCGGTCAATTCAAGTTGAGAGCTCTCCAACGTGATCAGAGACGATTACCTCTAACAGAATGTTTTCCCTCCTCGTTCTTTTGAGCATATATATTAAATTTTCGCCGCCCATCTTGACATTGTGTGAAGTCATTATGTAGGTGGCCAACATGTCTTTTAAGATCGCTTTCTGTCGTAGTAAGATAAGTCTCTTTAAAACATGTTCTTTTCAGCATCGGTGCATCCGAGTTGAGGGCTGCAGCACGGGATTCGAAGGGTGACCTCGGACTGTAGCTTACTCTGCTTCGTCCTTATCGCCATCAGTATGCCCGAACACATCACTTCGGTCACTAACTCACGGAAATATCACTGCACCTGATCGCTACTTCGTGGATGCTGTTACCCCGGTGCAGTAAAGACGATACCCCTCGCCGATGTCTTTAGCCTGCCCTCCTTTCCATGTCGTTTCTTGCGCACACGCAGTGTTGATGTGTCTCTTACGACCTATCATATAACTCTGGACTGCGCTGGTTCGTTTCTATGTTGATGTTCCTAGTCAATCTTCCTGGGCTCGCTTATCTGGACTGGCTGTCCGGAAAGGGTGGGAGGGTGAAAAGGGCAGATAGCCCTCTTTATTCATATCACATTAGCACTAGCGAGGGACGCCCTAACAGCACATTGAAATACTTCAGCGTGACACGAGCGATTCTACAATCGAGAGATTCTACAATCCTCGCCGTGTCGCTCCACCTAACGGGAAAGTGTCCTCATCGTTTATCAAGTCCGTTGCCAGTCGTACTGGCAGGATGGGACTTTGCCGGCCACAACAATACTCAGTTTGCAACCCCTTCACTACTTTGAGACTTCCATGACGCAATATGTAGAGTATACTTTGGACCGAATCGAATGATTATTCGATTATTCGAATAAATCATTCGAATGCGAATGATTCGAAAATTCGAATATTCGAAAATCTGAGGTTTCGAATAATATTCGAAAGTGAATATTCGAAATTCTCAACTTTCGAATATGGGTGGAGGTACACCTCAATTAGGCGCCGCTTCTGCGGGCTGCTGGTCCTTTCGTCCTACTGTTGTACAACGCGTTGGGACCAGTAGTCCGCGGGGGCGGTACCTAATTGAGGTGTTCGTTCCGTATCCACAACATATACAGGGTGTCCCAAGGGTATGTACAAATCGCTATGTACATGTTTAATCGCTAATACCTCTCACGAAGTCTTTTGCCAACTTAAGTAACATCCTGTAGGGATGGCTTGCTTACAAATGCAGCAGAAAGCAAATCACCTGTGTTTTTCTTGTTGTGTTATCTCACGGTATGAACTTAGCATATAGAGCAACTGCGAAATGAGGCATCCAAAAGAGTTTCCTCAACAAAAAAGAGATTTCAATTCTATGTAGCAGGATTTTACGTATGCTTAACTATGCACGGGCTATCAAGCCTTTTAAATGTGCATTCTCTTTTTTGAAAAGCGTTGGAAAACATCTGTTATGGTGTACCTGGCATAAGTTGCAAAAGGCGTTACGGTTGAGTGCAAATTCTTTATATAGTGAGTGTCTTTAGAAGTCTAGTGTAAGATCGGCCTTTTTGTTTTTCATTCTTGGGCAAACGGCTCTTGATATCTCAAAACCCTCCTCAGTTTTCCTACGGTAATTTACAACAGTGAAAAGCGATCGATACATCGCTTCATACTGTAAATCTAGGTTGATGTCAGCCCACAGATTCACATACTGTTGGGACCCCTGTATGTCAGTCCACAACTCTCAATGAAGATAAATAATCTTCTTTGATTTTTGGAATTCCTTTACAACCCTCACGTTGCTTTTAGGTTCTTAAAGGCAGCGTCCCAAAAGATGGGTCCGGGAATTTGTGGCGATGTTAAATTGGACCTCCTACCTAAGCGGCAGTGGCGTACCGAGGGGGGGGGGCGAGGGGGGGCGCCCCCCCCCCCCGAGAATGGGTCGCGAAATTTTTGAAAGTTACTTATAAGGGTTATAA